GGCCCCGTTGACGGAGTTTGTTCAAGGCCTGCAGCGGCAATGCATAGCCGCCGCACAACGACAACAAGTGGCTATGGCCGCCGGGGCCCTTATGATAAGACCGGCCATGGCCGGGGCTGTCCTGCCCCTACGCTGTTATAACTGTAATCAGCCAGGCCACCTTGCGAAAGATTGTCCGAAACCTCGAACTCAGGGTGGGCCCGCGGGGCCCACCGGACCTTCCCAAATCTCGCTGGCTGCTCCAACCGCTGCAGGACAGGGGAGGGTAGCCACGGTAATGGACACACGAACGACGGAGATGGTGACCCCTGCGGCCACTGAGATAGGACCCGACGAGTATATGGCGGCAGCGATGTTCGAACCCGGGACCATCGGAGTGATACGTCACATCCAATGGATTACCGAGGAAAGCGACCTCGGGCCGTGGCGACCAGGGTTCGAAGATCTTGCGGCACCCGGGCCTGAATACAAGGATGGCCATATCGACGTATTGGATACCTTGAAGGCTCTGGATCTACGGATCCCCGTCCCTATTCCCTATCTGCTAACCATTTCTGAAGCGGCTAACGAAACGTTGATCGAACGATGCCTCAAAAACAGGCACCGATTCGAGGAAAGTAGAAAGGGCAAAAAGTCGGTCCTACGAGACCCACCCACAAACGAGGAGTCACAGCCCTCAACCTCAGAGGTGCACGAAGCCAACCGGATAGGAATGATCCAGACCGTAGATTCTGCCTCCGAAAAACCCGAGGTATTCCTCCGGGCCTATCCTATAACCTGGAAAAGCGCTGAGTGTGACTGCGAGGTCTGGGGAAACCCCTCGACCGCCATCCTAGACTCGGGATCGTCAGCAGTCACCATTTCTTGGAGATTGACGAAATGATTGGGAAGGGAAGAACAGGTTCAGCCCCTCCGACGGGATGAACTGTATATATCCGCTACGGAAGACATCATTCATTTTAAAGGGCGGATAACGAACGTGCCTATACGGGTGGGGCGGGTGCATTGTTTATGCGACGCAATCGTGCTGGATGTACAGGCGTATGATGTTCTGCTAGGCATTCCATGGCAGGCGGCGGTTGGAGCGCGAATGCACTTTGACAGCTGTAAGGTGGTGCTCACATCGGCCCACCCCAAACCACAAACGATACCAATGAGATTGGCGGTGCGTATGCGTACCCAGTCGGTGCCTCGAATCACCACGAAAGCCCACCAAATCAACATGATCCGACGCTTGTCACCAGGCGAAAATAAAACCTCGTCGGGAGGTGAGGAGACTGACGTTCCGACCGATATTCGATCCGGGTTCAGGATCGGTGGTGCCATTCTTGGCGACGAGAACCCCTGGAAATAGTTCGGAGTGAGTCCAATTGGTCGCACACGTTCTCCTCCGTGGTGCAGGGGGAACCCCTGCTGAGGGTGTCCCGAATAGTTGACCTTTTGGAACCCCCTGCGTCCTTATATCTCAGGACGGACCCCCTACCTGAAAGATTTACCGAGCTTAGGGGGCTGTGCGATTTATCTTTTCGACCTCCACGGCCCCTACTCACGAATGAAAAAGCCGCGATACTCTTGAAAGAGGTGGTGTCGTTTCAACCCCGAACCAGGGAATATCGGTGGGGACCGAGGGAACTGACGCAGGCCTTCTCGGTAGAACCCTCGGCCGAACCCGAACAAGACAGTGACGGTGACATGGAAAGCGAGCCGATGAGTCCGGCGGACAGTCAACTTATTGCGACTGTCCTTTAAGCGAAAACCGACAACTCTTTGTTTGGGGCCTCGTCCGATGCCAGCGCGGCGGTCCCCACGGTTACGACGACGGTCTCCCTTCCTAGGGGAACCGTAGAAGTTCAGTTACCAGCCCGTGTTCCGGATGAATACAGACGCCTCCTCCTGGCGGTTATACGGGCCTATCATGAGGCCGTCAATATTCAGGACCACGACATAGGGCTAACCCCTTTGATACAGCACGCGATTGATACCGGGGATCACGCCCCGGTACATTGCCGACTGTGCCAATATTCCCTTAAAGAAAGACAGCTGGAGTTGGAAAGGGTACGGGAATTCGAGCGGTTGGGGTGGGTCGAACCATTGCTGGGACCATGGTCTTTTCCCGTGGTCCTCGTGCCAAAACGAAATGGTTCGGTCCAGGTATGTATCGACTACCGAAAATTGAACGCTATCACTACCAAAGATGTGTATCCCTTGCCGCGAATCGACGATTTATTAGATGTTATCGGGTCCGCTCGGGTCTTTTCCAAGTTCGATATCCGACACGGTTTTCACCATGTCGCAGTCCGACCGGAAGACCGACCTAAAACCGCTTTTGTCCTATTTGAGGGCACGTGGCAATGGGTCCGGTGTCCCATGGGAATTTGTAACGCCCCTGCAACGTTTCAGCGGGCCATCAATATGGCCTTCGCTGAGTTCGTTAACAAAACCCGACTAACCCAGCCCCTGATCAATTTCTGTGTGATTGTGTACATGGATGATATTTTGGTCTTTTCAAAAATACACGAGTACCACGTGGAACACATTGAGTGGGTTTTGCATGCACTAAAAGATGCGGGGTTCAAAGTGGCCTTGGAGAAAAGCGAGTTCTTCTTGTCGGAGATCTCATTCTTGGGGTACATCGTCACGGTCGATGGACTAAAACCGGATCCGAGGAAGGTGGCAGCAGTTCAAGAAGCCCCGGCGCCGGTCACACTCACCCAGGTTCGGGCTTTTCTAGGGTTGGCATCCTATTACCGACGCTTCATCAAGGGGTTTGTCGGTGTAGCGAAGCCCCTAACGAACCTGCTGAAGAAAGAGGAGCAGCTGATCTAGACGTCGGAATGCGAAGCGGCGTTTCAGGCGTTGAAGGAGGCTCTGACATCTGCTCCTGTGTTGGCACGTCCCGACCCGACAAGACCGTTCGCACTGTACACCGATTGGCAGCCGCAGGCGATATCGGCGGTGCTGGCTCGGCACGGGGTGGACGGAAGGGAACACGTCATTGAGTATGCCTCCAAGACGCTGGGCCAGGCGCAGGCTAATTACGAAGCGTGCAAAGGCGAATGCCTGGCGGTGGTGTGGGGGATTCAGCGTTTCCGACCGTATCTTTACGGCCAGAAATTCGTGCTGGTAACGGATCATCAGCCGCTGCTGTCCCTACTCAACAACACGGACTACACGGGGACGCTGGGAAGGTGGGTGGTGCGTCTGCAGGACTATGACTTCGACATCCGCCACCGTGCCACGTGGCAGCATGGCAATACCGATGGATTGACGCGCCTCCTGCCGCCCAATAAGTGTCCCCCCAACGAGCGACTCATTCCGTGGAGGCCAGAAGCCGCGACGACGAAACCACGCTACGGGGAGCTACACGTGTTGCGCAAGGACGACGCCTGAGTCCGGAATGGAGGTTTCGCCGGAGATGGCAAACGCTATCTCTTTGCCCTCATCCAACTCCCTCGCTCTCTCATCTAGTCCCTACTCGTCCCCTGAAACACATCTGAGTCCCTGTTTCTTCTGTACCTTGCCTATGGTCCCGGACCAAGAAGGGTCACATCCGGGAGGGCCCAGTTTCCTTTTGTGGGTGCAGTGTAGTCAGTGTCAAGCGGTCAAATCCCACGGACAATGCGTTAGGTACCGAAGTGAAAAGACGTGGGTCTGTCCCAACTGCAGAACGGACCAAGTCCCTACCGAGAAACGGTATCTGGACGCATGGACCGCCGACGGATTCGCGCCAAGTGCCCGCCGGGCAGAAGTCTGGACGGACCTTCTGTTGCTACGGAGGCTGTCAGGCGACTCGCTGTCAGAACTTACCAAAGCCGAGCGGCGGAGAGTCACAGAGCGGGCGCAGGATTACTGCTGGCAGGGACCGACGTTACAAAAACGAAAAGTCGATGATGGCGGAGGGACTAGCTGGTTGACGGTTCCGCACCCTTTCGCTAGGTTTGATTGGACACAAGCCGCTCATGAAGAGGATGCAGTCCATTTCGTGGTCAAGAACACGGAAAAAGCCATCGAAAAGAATGGATGGTACTGGTCGGGAATTCGAAAAGATGTGAAATACATAATCCAGAATTGCCCGGCCTGCGACGCGGACAAGGCGCCGGTACAGATGCCTCAAACGATGGTGCCTACTCGTGTAGAGTGCCCCTTTCAAAGGGTTAGCATCGACATGACGGGTATCAACGTTCCGAGAGGTCCCGTCGATCAGGGAGAGCTCAATGTTCTTTTAGTGGCCGTCGATCACTTTTCGAAATGGATCGAGGCATACGCTATGACCAGCCGGAATTCGCAGGAGGTAGCCTGGTACGTAAACCGAATTTTGTGCATGCAAATGGGTCAGAATTTCAAGGCGAAAGTAGAACGTCACCTAGTCAGGGCAGACGTTAAGATTATCTACTCGCCGGGGCATTGGCCTCAAGCCAATGGCCTGATAGAGAATGCCAACCGACTGATTAAGACCGCTCTTAGACGGAATATCACTGCAAGAGACACCCCGCCCTGGCCTGTCATTGTCGACCACATTTTGGCCGTCTATCGGGTTACCCCACACGGTAGTACTGGGGTGTCCCCCTTCCAACTGAGAACCAATAGTGTCCCTCGGGTGCAGTTGTCCGCCTTGGTAGGTACGGAAGTTCGAGCAACACGGGCCCAACACAGAGATAAGGCCCGCCATTACATGGACTTAATGGCTAGGGCCTATCCCCCGTTAGCTCGCCGGCGACAGCGGGCCGTAGATCGGACGCATCAACGGCAGATCCGCGATTATGAGAACGGACATGCGTCCGCGGGACCACTTCCTCGCTATAAACTTGGGGACTTGGAGCAGGTATAGAAATCCGCACGCTCCTCCAAGATCCACCCGCGCTACACAGGCATTTACGAGGCAACGGAAGTTGGCGCACAGGGACAGCACTCCGTGAAGCTGATTCCCCGTCACAACTCCCAGGCCCGACCGCTGACACGGCACGCTGCCGCGCTCCGGCCCTTCCAGCCATCGCTAGGCCCCATATGGACCCCCGCTCCTGCGAGATCATCCTCTCCTTCTTCGTCTTCCTCCTCTTCCCGATCTGCCTCGTCCATTGGTGCTGAGAGTTTCAGGGAGCAGGATGAACCATCGCAAGCCGGAGCATGAGCCCCTTGAGCATTTCCAGACGCCGCTTGCAGATTGCTTGTTGCAGCATCAGTTCAATGAGGAAAGGCAGTTGCGGTACGACATTCAGCAGGTGAACGTGCCAGTGCCCGGGGTTGCTGATCTGGCGGCGTACTCGTTACTTTGCGATCGGCTGACGTATGCGGAGGTGTACGTGGACGTGACGCAGTTGCCTGGGCGGGAGACGACTCGAGAGTTCATCGAGTTCCGCGCGCTCCAGGTGGCACCCAACTTCGTGCATAGCATCGCCACCTTTATCGGCGACTTGACGATCCTGCCACCGCCGAGTCAGGAGCTGGCGCGAAGTTTTGTGCGCGAGTACGCGGTGCAGGCGGCCAGATCGGTGGCCAGAGTGCAAGGACGAGGGGGACACCGATTCACAGCCCACGAAACGATGCTGCGCAGGGCAGAGGACGGACCGATCGCGTTGGTACGGCAGCTACCCGCGCTTCTTCCTCCCGCTGCTCCTCTCAACTTCCAAGCTCTTCCCCCTGCCCCGTACTAAATGCCTCCCTTCTTCTCTTAAACCACTCTCCCCTATCAACTCACGGAGGGCCCTTATCCTATGCGCAAGTTCTCGGAGTATCTGGTGAAGCTAACTGACGTGGAACCGCTGCCCTTCGCAGACGAAGACGCGTGGGAGTTGCACCGTGCGCTGTACAAGTCGGTGGCGTTGGGGATGTTCCGATTCTTCGTGGATCACGAAGACCACTACATCGGGGAGCACTTCGTCGTCTACTACGTCATCACACGGCCCAAGCCGGCGCAGAAGGAGGGGACGGTGGCGCTGTACCCATTCGCCCAGCTCCAGACGATTGATCCGGGATTATTAGAGCTCATACATCTTGAGCTCCTCTCCATTGCGCAAGTGATCGCGAACGAGGAAGAGGAGATCCAGCCACGATTGCGGACGGCGACGGCTCCGCGGAGAACGTACAATGCGGTCGTCATCCCGGATTACATTGTGCAGCGCGCGGAGAGGTTGGAGGACTTCCCGGAGGAAAAGCCGTTGCAGCCTCCCTCGTCGTATCCCCGACCGGCGCCACCCAAAGCCCCCAAGAAGACGCGGAAGAGGAAGAGACGCCACCCGTCGCCAGGAGCGCAAGGCAGCAGAATCAGTGGCGGCGAGGAGGTGATTCAGCCCGCGCGTACGCGGAATCTTGACCCCGCGCCTGGGATTGCGGTGACGCTCATTAAGGCGACTGTCGTGCCATCGCCGCCCTTCCCGCGCGTGCCCGATCTCAATCTTGATGGAGCCGGGCCATCAGCAGCAGCAGCAGCCGGGGGAGGAAGCCGAATGGGAGTACCGGATCCCATATCCAGACCCCCCGTCCTCGCGGGACCTCTCCGCTCACGCCAGCCAGCCCGGGGTGCCTCGATCATTCACATTAGCAGTTCCTCCCAGCCGGACAGTCCATCTGACAGAGGTGGATTTCATGCTGGAGCCCACCACCATCAGGCTCGAGGCCATCGCGGGGGCACCGCGCCCTGATCCGGCGTGGGAGCCATATCTTACACCCCCTTTTCAAGGGTGTATTGCGGCGCGACTGGTTGGGACGCTCATCTACGAGACCGGGCAGCGTCCCAATGTGATGTACCACTTCCTTATCTTCGCGGTGCAGAAGCGGGAGCAGCGGCCTTACACCGAGACTCATGTGGTGATGACGGGTCCAGGGCCCTGATCGGTGCGCAAGCGGGTAGTGCGAGCGGTGGCGGATCTGGCGCCACGTGTCCTGTCTCATGTGTCGGGGGCCTTCCTCTCTCCCTCATTCGTCCAGCACCACTTCCAGGAGGAAGATGCGTCGACGACTCCCGCAGCAATGGCCGCTTTTCTTCCGCCCCCTCTCAATCCCGGCATCGATCACTTCCTCTGATCACCCTCATCTACCTCTCCCAGTTTCTCTCCTTCTCCTTTTCTTCATCAACTTTTTATCGATCGGGCCAGCTGGCGATGAAGGGGCCGCCCGATCGGATGTATACTATGGGAGGAGGCGATGGAGGATGCAAGATGCATCCACGTAGATTAGGAAGATGATCGGGTCAGCTGACGATGAAGAGGCCGCCCGATCATCTAAGACATGATGACCTCAGCAGTCGGGAGACTGCTAATTTTTCGGAACCACCTGCATATCACAAATGTGATAAGCTCAGACCCGTACCGCGCGGCTTCCCGTATCCCTGAGGAAAAATCCCCCGGAAGCCCCGAGGCACGGATGCGGACAAAGAGGGGTTTTTCTTTCTTTTTTGCTTTTGTTTTCTTTTCAAAACGGCTTTTTCATTTTGTTTGGTTAGATAACTCCCCCGTGGGTGAATAGCGGCCGTGGTATGAAAACCACGGCCTGCGTCCGCGCGGACGGTCGACACCCCCGCAAGGGGAGAGAGCTTAGATTTCGTCGTCTTCCCCCGACGCACCCACTTTTGAGAGAGAAGAGTTGCGTCGAGTGTTGTATGGAGTCGGTGTTGGTTCGGATGACCGGGAGCGCGGGATCTTGCCCGTGTTCATCGCGCCCCTCCGATCGTCTCCTCCCGCTACCGACCTTCCCCATCGCAGATGACGACAGCGTCTACTGCGATGCGGACGTACGACGCGCGCTGAGACGGATGGAGCAAGTGTACTGGCGGGACCCGCCTCAGGCGTGTGATATAAGGGGGAACGGGTTTGTTGTGATTGATCGCTTTGATTCCCCGACTCTAATATTGCCTTATACGGGTTTGACGGTGTTGCCTTGGTCGGCCACTCACGCCGTGTGGCGGCCGCAGTTTGATTGTCGCTGGTGTCGCCAGGGGGACTCGTGTTCGTGGCGACGCTTGGTCCTGGGTTACGAGGGAGCGACACGTTTCCCCGAGCTCTCCCGTAATGCGGAAGTGCTGCCCGCGCAATTTCGAATTCGGATGTCGGCGAGTCCTCCCGCCGTTTCACCCTCTCAGAAACTTCTGCTCGGACTTTGCGAGTCTGACGCCGAGGCTTGAAGACCTCGAACCACCCACCTCTACAGCAAAAACCCGATGGTCCGGTCATTTTGTGAGGCCGATGACGAGGCCTGAAGGCTTCGAACCCACCACCTATCCCCCAAACCCATGACGGCCGGAGTTTCTGCCTTCCGCCGCCATGGCCCTCTCCCCTTGATGCCTTTTTCCATCCTGATGCACGATGGCAATTCGTTTTTGCGGAAACCCTTCTGATTTTATCGTTTCGGAGTGATCCGACCCCCACGGGACTTGGCGACGACAGTTCGACTCCGGGGTAACCTCTGGCACGAAACGAGAGCCTCCCGTTCCGTCCGGGAGACTCAACCCCTACGACCAAAAATCCTCAGCCACGCCCCTCCTAGAACTCTGATCGGCAACCTAGTACGGGAAGCTGAGAGGGGGCGTGAGGTTGCGTATCACATGCCCCCTTGGAGATTCCAGTCTCCGTCATCGAGAGGGCAAGCCAGCGCTGCCCGAGGCCAATCGCACCAGGATGAACCCTCATCAGCCGGTACCCATCCGGTAACTAAGGCTGCCCGATGTCAATCGCATCTAATGAAAGATCCCCCAGCCGGCACCCCTCAGACAACCTAATTTCACCCTCTCTTCGTCCTCACAAAGAATCATCTCGTGCCCTTTACCCCTCACCTTAAACAGATCCCCCAAAACCCAACAGAACCTTCACTCACCTCCTTCTCCTCCCCAACTCTGTCCTAGTAAAGAATTCGACAGACCATGTCCTCAGCAAGAGCCAGACACAATCCTCACCCTGCAATCTCCTGCCCCCTCGGAGATTCCAGTTTCCGTCATCGAGGGGGTGAGCGAGCACCGCCTGAGGCCAATCGCACCAGAGTGAACCCTCATCAGCCGGTACCCATCCGACAACCAAAGCTGCCCGACGCCAATCGCATCCAATGAAAGTTCCCCTAGCCGGTACCCCTCAGACAGCCCCGATGCACCCTCTCTCCGTCCTCACAAAGAGTCATCTCGTGCCCTTTGCCCTCCATCTTGGACAGATCCCCAAGCTCAACAGAACCGCCCCATATGAATTCACGAAATTTCAGAAGCGAATTTTAGTTGATTTTTGAGACCACATGCCATTAGGACCTTCGACCACTGAAATCACTAAGACTTATTACCAGTCCCAGTAAAAAAACAGACTAACGATTGTGTAGAGTGAGAAGTTTTTTAGAAGCTTTTATAGAGAATTATTTCGAGAATATTTTTAGAAGCTTTTATAGGAAAATATTTCGAGAATCAGCAGTTAGATTTGGGAAGCTTCTATAGGAAAATATTTCGAGTTGTAGAATCAGAAGCTTATTATAGAAGAATATTTCAAGAATATTTGTAAAAGTTTTTATAGAAGAATATTTCGAGAATCAGAAGTTTTTTTTTTTGAGACTTTACTAGGAAAATATTTCAAGAATATTGGAAGAATAGTTTTGAAGATAACCTAGTCGTATCCCAAAGTTTTTGTGGAGACTTTAATAGGAAATTATTTCGAGAATATTAGAAGAATAGTTTTGAAGGTAACCTATTCGTATCCCTTTGAGCAAAATCAGAATATATCACAAGGACAAAGAAATCCACAAAGAGTAATCAATGAAAGCATCAAAACCATGTTGATCATCAAACGACTAAGGACACGAAACCATGCCAGACACTCAATCTTTAAAACAGGGCCCAACTGTGACGACGCAGATCCCGTACGAAGTGAAAGCTGAGAAAAAAACCTTCTCCCTTCTTCTTCAACCCTTCCTTCCACTTACCTCTCACCCTTCAAACCCTACCCCTGCACCTCTAGGGGAAGAAGAGTTCACTTCCTCCCGCTGCTAGTTCAAGGCTCAAGGCAACACTAACTCCAAAGGTATAAGCGGCCATCTTCGATCCCTGTAGGGAGTCGAAAACAATGTGGCACCCCTCGCCAAGCCTGTTGACAAGTCACCACAGGAGGTTCGAACCACCATAGCCGTAAACTTACCACACACTTACATATAATTGAAGAAGAAGGCAGATTCGGAATCACTACGTCATCTCATGAACAACTGCATCGTACCAAATAAAGCCCGAAGTCATATAACCACCACCTCATGCCCCCGTCGTTCTCAGCGCCCGACACACTCGAATTTCATGGCGCGCCCTAGATCTTCGATATCTCATCATCCACTTGACCATTTGCGCTAAGATTTGGACCACCTCAGCTCCTCGACATAGCCCATCGGCGGGCCAATTTTCAGCTCAACTCCGAAGGGATGTTGTGAAGGATGTGCGGATTTCGACACCTGTCAGGGTCGGGGTACTGATGCTGCCTCAACATTTGGTGTCTTCTTCTTCTTCTTTCTTTTAAGGCGGCAAATCGTGAACGTCGAAAATGGTCTGACAATTAGCGAATATTTCATGGACACTGGTGTGGCGAGGCCCATAGAGTAAGGCTTGGACCCCACTGGCCGGCGGCCTGGAAAAGTTTTGGAGAGGAGGTGTTTTCCATACCCCACAGGTGTTGGAAACCGATGTGGAAAGTCGGCCTGGAAAGGAATTTCATATCCCACTGCGCTTGGAAAGAGGTCGTGGAGATGTTGACGGGGCGTTTCTACTCTGTTCGCGGTCTGGAAATGCAATGCCGACCAGTTTCCATTCCCTTTCCAAGGACGCCTCTAGACGAGTAGGGGGGGGGGGCATGTCCATCAGTTTCCAAAAAACGGCTGGAGGGCGTGGACCACGGACCCTCATCGTGGACCGTTTTTTGGACTGAGAGGCTGCCGCGGACATGCTCTTGGTTTTTTGCCACACACATACATGTCCTGGTGCATGCCGATGGAAGGGCCTGGAACACAGCCCCGGGCCGACTTGCCTTTTCGGGAAACACCCCGGGGGGGATTTCCTATTCGGGTATGTCCATCCGTTTTTAGTGCCGAAAGTCAAGGGTCCCAACAAAAAGCGGCAACTTCTTTCCAACCACGGTCGGCCGCTTTTTGTGGCCAACATCAGTTTCCAGCTGTCGGGCAGTGGGGTCCAAGCCTAAGTGGAGCGATGTGACGAACCGATTTCTGTTCCGCGCAATTTTCTGTGCGATAACAATGAGGGGTCCTAAGCTGGGAAGGACGGGCCAATTACGGGAGATGGGATTGAAGGGAAATTGCATCAGTGTCCTCGCTTCTTCGTCTTTTTGCGTCGTCTCTTTTCAGATGGCTGGGTTCAGGCCCGGGCAAGTCCCGGGGATGATTGATGGGTGATGCGCCGCCGCGAGCGCGCGAACAATTCTGGTTGACGACATTCCTTTTTGTTTCCTGTTGTTGGATTTTAGGCTCGGAGACCGCGCGGGAATTCTGCTTCGTTCTTTTTTAAATTTCTTTTTGACTCTTGTCGAGCCCCGATGCCTCTCGAAATTTTGGACTTTCTTTTCGAAAATTGTGCTTTTTGTTTTTTTGCATTAGATAGGAATTTAGGAATTTTGCAATTAGGATTTTCTTTTGCCGCGCGGCGCTTTTTGCTTACGCACTTCTTTGTGCGGCTGCAACGGAACTCTGATTAGTCGGCGCCCTTAATCGTGTGTGTAACTGTAATTTTGGGCGGGCGCCATTGTAACTGTATCTTTTTTCTTGA